GTAGATAAGTTAAGAATTATAATAAAAACTATATATTTTCTTTTATTTTCTACTCTTAAACCTATTTACTATATACTAGAAAGGTTAATTATAATAATTATAAAGAGGTAGTAAGAAATTAGATATTATAAGTATAAGTATTATTATATAAAGAGATAGTAATAAAAAAATAAAAAATTAATTTTAGTATATATTTTCTATATAGAATATTAGAATAACTAATACCTAAACTAATACTATATAGGTTTATTTCTAAACTTTTAATATTTTATAGCTAGAAAAAGTATATAAAGCTCTAATTAGATATAGCTATATAGTAGTATATATTTCTATTATCTAATTAGCTAATTAATTATACTTAATTATACCTAATTCTAATTATATCTAATTACTTTTTAGTAGAATATTAGAGTCTCTAATTAGGTAATATTTTTATCTAAATTAAGTAATTCTACTAATTTAAATTAGGTAATTTTTTTATCTAAATTAGAAACTAAAGTTTTACTAGTATTCTATAAACTTAATTATAATTACTCTACTTATATTTTACTATATAATTACCTAATAGTATTTATAGTATCTACTTTTTTTACTTCTTTAGTTAAAGCTAAATAGGTAATTCTTACTCTACTTATTTATATAACTATATAGACTAGATTATATATAGCTATACTATTACTATATATAAGTAGTATAGTTTAATTAGTATTTCTTTAGCTTATTTTAGACTACTATCTACCTCTTACTAGCGCTAAGTCTAGAGTATTAAATCTTCTTACTAACTAACTACTTTTTCTATTTAACTTTACGCTAATACTTTTATATTTATTCTTTAATTCTATTATTATATATCTAGCGCTATACTATATATTATACTTCTCTTTTTATACTAATAGCTCTATAGTCTAATTCTACTTCTACTAAAAATAATAGATACTAACTTATAACTAGACCTTAGTAGAAAATCTTTATTATAAAGTCTATATAGTATACTAGTACTTAAAGTAGCATATAACTATAATATATCTAGCTATCTTCTACCTCTTTTATACTTACTTTTTAGCTAGTCTATACTAAATAGAAACGTCTATAAGAAGACTCTAAAGCTAAAGCTAATAAGCTAAAAGATATATACTTTATAAACTAGCTCTAAAAACCTTCTTTCTTCTAATATAAGTTCTCTAAAAAGAACTTAAAAGAAGACTCTAATACTAAAACTAATAAGCTAGAAGACGTATACTCTTTAGATAAACTCTAAAATCTCTCTCTCTAGCTCTAGTCTATTTAACTATCTTCTACCTCTTCTATATAAAGACGTAAGAGTCTACGCTTCTAAGATACTAATTCTATCTAGATAACGCCTAACTCTATTTAGTAGATAAAAATACTAAAGTAATTTTAAGAAGAAGATAAAGTATTATCTTCTCTATAAACATCTATAGCTTTAGCTAGTAAACTAGTTAGATAGAAGATAATTATAAAGACTTAGGTTAACTACTAGAATAAAAACTAAACCTAGCTAATAGAGAAATAAGAGAATATAATAGACTATTTTTAAGATTTTATCTAGTCTATACTAGTAAAAAAAAATTTATTAGCTTCTTTCTACTATAAGCGTTTAGATACTAGTATTAATACTAAAATAGTCTTAATATAAACGCTAAGTAACTAATAACTATAGAAATAGAAAAGTACTCTATATAAATATTTATATTATAAAGGTTAACTTAGTAAATATAGTAGCTTTATATATAGATATAAAGATAGTATTAGTACTAAAAGTAAAGCGCTTTACTAAAGACTTCTAGATTTACTATAGTTACTACTAAAAGATATATTATTTAAAGATAAACTATTTAAGAATACTTTAGAATTAATTAAAATAAAAATAAAACTAGAGTAATTTATAATATTACGTAGCTTATTATTTCTTCTACTAAAATTTTAGTAATTTATAGCGCTAAGTATCTAAAAACTTTTAGAGAAACTACTAATACTAGTTAGAATAATACTATTCTTTTTTATAGATTATATCTATAACTAGACTATAGCCTTAAATTTAAGTAAGAAGCTTTTATCTAGAAATAACTATAGAAGCTTTAGCTCTTTATTAAAAATAAATTAGAAGATTATTTTTATTTTATAGCTATATATAATATATACTCTCTATTTCTTACTAGTAAAGTAAAATATAGAGTATTTACGCTTAATATTACTAATTAGTAGAATACTTATAGTTAAACTATTATATTATATAGTTTAATAGAGCTTTTCTAGCTTATAGATTAAAAGAATAAGCTTTATTATAAAATTAATAGCTTTTTAATCTCTTATAGTAATAAGTATATAAAAGTCTAGAGATATTACGCTATTATTAATAGAAAAGACTTTATATTCTACTAATATCTAATTACTAAGTTTAATATTTTAAAGATAGAATAGAAAGATAATTAATAGATAGTATAAACTTTTATCTAGAATACCTATAATTTATAGCTTTCTAAGTACTTTTTAAGAATCTATTCTATTATTAATATACGCTTTACTAACTTAAATTTTAAAGTCTTTAAATAACTTAAACTTTAAACTTAGAATCTAGAACTAGCCTCTTTATACTTAGAATTATTCTAATAACTTAAAGATTATAGCTTAGCTAATAAAGAAGTAATACTAGATAACTAGCTAAGTATTAATCTAATTACTTAGAGACTATAATTAATACTAGGTCTAGTAACTCTAAAAAAAAAAAGATAAAATAACTACTTATACTTACTATTTATATTAGACTTAGCTATATTTCTTATAATAGATATTAGATTATATACTACTCTATAGTAACTATAAATCTAGTATATCTATAAAAGTAGTAATAGATATCTAGTATTTAGAACTAGTTATTATTATTAAATATAAGTAGCTATACTTTTAAATCTACTATTTTTTTCTTTCTAGTTTAAATTTAATATATTATATTAATACTCTTACTATCTATAATTAATAAGAAGAAAAAATAAGTAAATATAAAGTATATCTTACTTATATATATTACTACTATTAGCTAAGTAAGTAAGTAAACTAACTAATTATTTACTAAATTAATTCTAGCTTAGTATTAGTATAGTACTATTATATCTTAGTTCTACTTAATATAAATCTTAGTATAGAAATACTATCTAAAATATAGAAAAAGCTTTTATAAATCTATAGAAAAAGTCTCTAAGATCTATATATTAAAGTCTACTACTCTACTAGTACTTTATCTTTATAACTTTTTATATTTATCTCTTATAGTCTAACTATAATAGTATATATATAGTTTTTATATTTTCTTAAAGTAAAAATAAGAGTATACGTCTACTAAAATAGTTACTTTAATATTCTATTTATTTTACTATCTAAAGTTCTAATATAATATCTAGACTTAAGTAGAAATAGCTTATACTTTAGAATAAAAGAATAGTAAAAAGAAAGTATAAAGAAAGTTAGATTATATTTTATATTATATAGATACTTATCTTCTAATATAGATATATTTTCTAAGTACTCTAGTTTAGTAGTCTACTAATTATTACTACTACTAGTATACTCTTAAATAATATACTATTAAGTTATACTTTACTCTTAAGATAATAGTACTACTTTATCTTATTATTATTCTAAGTTATATTAGAACTCTTTAGCTAGAAGTATAAGAAATTATATAATATTACTATTACTTAGATAAATAGAATAAAGTCTTACTAATAAGAAACTAAGTAGTAGTTAGTAGGTTTATAATAAGAATAATTAATATATAGAAATAGAGGCTCTAAAAGTAGATAAGTTAATTAACTATAAATAGATAAATAAATAGTAAACTAGCTATAATTAGAGATAAATTTAAAAAGTATTTAGATATAGTAAAAGATAACGTTTAGAATAGAGTATCTAAATCTAGACCTTTAATTAACTTATTCTAAAAATAATAATTAGTAATTATAATTCTTAGTTATAGTTATAGAAGAGCTTAGTATTATTAGTTTTCTAATATTTAAGTTTAGAGATAGAAATTAAATAGATAATTAAACTTTTATTATTATACTATTATAGTTTAACTTTATTTCTATTTCTACTTATCTATAGTATAAGTATAACTATATAGTTCTATATTAGTAGAAGTAATAAGTTTATTAATACTAGAACTATAAATCTTTTTATATATAAGCTATAATATACTATTAGCGTTTTTATAGCTATTATATCTAGCTAATTCTCTAGCTAATATATAGCTTAGAGAACTATTCTTTATATAATATAGCTTAAGCTATTTCTAGAAAGTAAAGATAAGATATTAGTATTTATATCTAATCTTAAGAATTCTAGATCTTAGTTTATATACTAAAGATATACTATATTATTTAGCTAAAATAGAATATACGTATAAAAGAGTACTAGTATATTTTATAAAACTTACTTATAATTTCTACTAATAATATTAGAGTTATATAAGAATTCTATAAAGAGTAGCTAGCGCTATTATATATAATAAGTAGTCTAGTAGAATCTATAAAAAATAATTATAAATATAATTTTTAGCGTATATAATATTCTATTACTTAGTAAAGCTTTAAGATTCTTTCTATCTATAGATCTTAGTAGTAGTAGATAAGTTCTATATATACTAGTTAGTAAAACGTATAAACTTCTAATATTTATATTCTATAGACTTTAAAGAAATTATTTAGAGGCGTATACTATTATAAAGACTTAAGTTAGAGATAATAAAGTATATTCTTAATTAGCTCTTACTATAAGTATTAATAAAAGTAATAGGCTATTTAAAAAAATCGTATAGACGATAATATCGAATTAAGAGTTAGCTCGCTAACTTAGCTAGCTTTATAAGCTAAGCCCTGGCACGAATAGTTAGCCACTCGAATGGATTATATAAGCAATTTAGCGACACCATCCCACAGTCAGCCGTGTTAATACTCCACGTCTTCTTCTCCATTCAGCTACCCCTTACGGATTCAAGTTCAGTCACCTACTGTGAGCGAGTCTATCCAAAAGTTCAGGGCGCAATATTCCCTTCGCTTCAGTGCTGCCGTGTACGTGGGATTAGGTACGAAAGCGTTCTCTTCCGCATGCATCACTAACCTCCCTCGAAGCTCGCCATCACATCCACCGCAAGCACCATCAAACGGAGAAACTTGCACAACGGCCGAAGTGCCCTCCCTTCTACAGTATTGCGCTGCTTTCAAACACTTTTTCATGCCGCTAATGCTCCTAGAGGAACAGGATCCCCGGTTCCTCAGACGTTTGTCCTCCCCGCGACCTCCCCGCACGTCCACAATACCGCCTCGAGAAGCACACCCGAAGTGTTTCTGGGAACATGTTCGTTGAACAGCCACGAGTAGACTCTTTCCCAGGTCCCAATATCAGCACAAAGAGAGATCTGAGAAACCTCTGCGAAGTCGAAGATTATAAGACCGGCGCATTCAAACGTACAACATTCACCTACGTCGATAACCAGGACGTGGCATGGTTCGGTCAGACACCCGATATACGAAAGTATGATTTGACCGTGGAAGATCTGAATCGACTCTTGCAACAAATCCCGGATGAAAAAGTCTATCCGATAAGGCCCTCGTCTATCTCCACTGTCTCAGATGCAGACCAAAGGAATCTCTTCATCAAACGTCCGAAACTTCTGTGCCTTGACGATGAAGAAGAGACGAAGCTCTTGCCCCAAATGCTCCTCGAGGAAGCGGAGGTCTTAGAGTTTCTCAAACAACACCACCATCCAAATCTTATCAGATATTACGGACGTACTGTCAATCGCGGTCGTATTACCGGAATTGCCCTTGAAAATCACCAAGTCATTCTGCAGTATCACTTTAAGAAAGTTTCAAATAGTTTCAACATTGTTGCTTGCATGGAAGGTATCCGCGCAGGTGTAGAACACCTCCATGCCCTTGGATTCGCACACAATGACCTCAATCCAATGAACATTGCACTTGATAGCAATGATAACCCGATCATTCTGGACTTTAGGTCTTGTAGACGGTTTGGCGAGCAACTTCTTTCCGCGGGCACGTATGGCTGGATAGAGGAGGATTTTACCACCTCTGCGCAACGACATGACGAGTTCGCAATGAAAAAGATAGAAGCTTGGTTGAAGGAGAAGAGTAATTGCACCACTAAAGGCTCTTAGAGCAGATATGTCTCGTAAACACAGCCAATGTGTAGCATGTGCGCTAGTTGATCGCAAAGTCACCTCCTTCCCCTTGCCCTTTGACTGCATTGGAAGAACGTCCATTGGTACGTCGTAGCTAGAGCGTACACCTTTCAGGTACGGCGATTTGGATTGCGATTGGATGTTGGGCAATCTTCTTGCTCACAGTCGACTCTCCTAACCTCGGTAACCCATCGTGTTTGGCCATTGGCGTCTGTTGTAACCTTGATCGTGGTGATATGGGTGCACCTGGTTCGGCGTCAGCACGTTATGCGAGCCCTAAACTTCATGCTCACATTTTGAGAGACGCGTATAGGCGGACTGTCGAGTCGACAATGTTTCAGGGTGGGTGATCTTTCCGGGCACAACTTCGTCCACTGTCACTGGCCGAACGCACGGGCATGCGCCGAAAACAGGCTGCACCAATCAAAGCTTTAAGCCAGTTTGATCCGAAGATTCCCCGCCCAATGAAAACCAGCCAAGTGGCAATAAGCCGAACGGGGTCGCTCTACATCCAGCTCCCACAAACTTCCCTACGCAAATTTGGAGCTTTCTCCACCTTCTCGGTCCCGGTCAATTCCAGCCTGCTCAGCTCATAGAAGCCCCTCAATATCATATGCTATCGGATGCAGGGACCGGGCTATTCTACCACCAACACTAAGCGAATCTAAGCCGATAATGCGATGTGCGATGCGACGTGCGATGTGCGATGCGACGTGCGATGTGCGATGCGACGTGCGATGTGCGATGCGATATGCGACGTGCGATGTGCGATGCGATATGCGATGCGACGTGCGATATGCGATGCGACGTGCGATATGCGATGCGACGTGCGATGTGCGATGCGACGTGCGATGTGCGATGCGACGTGCACCAGTCTACTGATGCGAAGGATTGCTATCTATCCAGCAACTCGGCCACAATGCCCAAGCGGTCATCTCTAGCCAGCTACATTCTGCTGTCAGCTACTGTCTTCGCTCCATTTCAACACACTTCCTCCACGTCATCATGACCGTCGCTCTCGCTCCGTACTCCCACGACTATTTCCAAAGCCTTCCGAATCTTAACACTGCGCGAGACGCCTTCATCGAGTCGGATGGCCCGAAACTGGTCGAGGAAATCTTCAGACCCCTCTTCACTAACAGCGGCATGGATCGCCATTTCGGGCTGGCCATGATGCACCGTCACTCCAATCTCCGTGCTGGGCAGATTATGGTCACTTACAACAACACATCGACTCCTTGGAACGCGACTCCTGGTGAGGGGATGGATAAGCCCCAACCAATGATTCTGGGGCTTTCCCCCGAGGGGAAGTTGGTGCCAACAGAGTTCCGGTACTCAAAAGGGCACAAACTTGAGATCGGAGAAAAGGAACTTGCCTTCGCAGCCAAACTCATGGCAGAGCTTGACAAATTGGGTCTGAGGCAGCTGTTCGGCTTACGCGAGTACCCTGGGGATGACTTTGAGGGTACATGTGAGATCACTGAGGGCCTAGCCAACATCAACCTGAAGCCGAAAGATGTACGTCAATCTTCGACTGATTTAGCATAATCAACTAACCGGTCTTCCACACAGTATCCCGATGGCTTGGTGCAGACGGACACTGCTTGGTACTTCTCTGAAACAATCAGAAAGCGAGGATGCAGATGCACTTGCGATAACCGCACCGACCCCCATGGTCATGGCGCTCATGTTATCACACAGTCTGGTTAGACTCCCAACTAATGACAGCGATGCGTCCTTATCAGGGAAGAGGATGGACTGGCTTTCGCGGACTAGGATGGATGCATGACAATGTTTGCCATGCTATTCGCTCATGGAGTTTCTTCAGCATGGACATAACCTAGCGGCTTGTGGGATTCAATTGCATTCATTCATGATATTCGTATTATTGTGACTCTGATCGAAAGAGATATGCAGTGAGTTCAAGCTAGCTGTCTCACGGGCTGATATGTGTTCTGTCGCACTAATCCTAATCTGGTATAGGTTTGAGTCATGCTTGCCCCGCCGCCAGAGGCACAAATCCTCCACACTTCTATTTCCCCTCCTCTCTCATCGTCGCGAACAAGCCGGTCGCGCTACACGATGCCACCAGACCTGATGCAGAACTTCCGCCCGGAAAACATACCTACCGCGATTTCTGCTTTCCAACCCGATGGCGAAGTTCCAGTCTTGAACGAACTGCATTTGGAGGGTGGTCAGTGTTGCATATTCAAGGCAGACTTTTCGGACGGAGAAAGTTGGTCTGTGCGCATTCCTATCCACGTCCAAAGCGATTCCCAAGACGTTATTATAAATGTTCTCCAAGCCGAACGAGACGTGCTTCAAGAGATTAACCGAAAAGGCTTTCGTTGGGCTCCAAAATACCTTGGATCCAGCTTCACATTCCAAAACTTGGTTGGATTTCCGTTCCTGGCGTTATCGTGGATCGAAGGCTCACCCCTCTCCTGGTCTCCCGTCGACCCACCCAGGCCTCTCCGCGATAAAGTCCTTGGTCAAATCGCCGAGATTCAGATGTCTCTCATCGAGTGTACCAAAGAAAACAGTGTGTTCACACGCCCACCTTGTGTAAATGCCTATTAATAATTGTAGGGGGCACCGCTACAAAGTACTTCTTGAGATTGATAGACAACAAGCTCCGCCGAGTTCGCAAGGGTGAACTTCCCCGATTAACTGAGCAAGACTGTTTTGAGCAGAGAAGACTTCTTCCTCAAGTGCTTCATCTGGAATTAGAGAACGCGCCATACGCCATTGATCACGGTGATCTATCACCGCAGAACATACTAGCCGACTCGGAATACAACGTCACTGGGTAAGCAGGCGTCAAGAGTAGATACGCTTATGTTGCTAACTGTGGAAGTATTATCGATTGGGGATTTGCTGCAAAGGTTCCAATTCAGTTGGCTGGCCGCTTGCCTCGCTTGCTTCAGCTCCAGGAACCCGTCCTGCCCCCAAGCCGAACTCTTCAACAAGATCGCAAGACTTATATTGCTTCGCTCACGTCCCACTCATCGGAAGCGGCATCTTGGATTTCGCTTATTCATTCATGCAAAGATGTCGATTTTCGCGACTGCTTTCTAGAGTCGGTAATCAGCAAGGGTGCGCACCAATTACTGGCAAGACTGGGATGGAAGCTTCCCTATCGTGATCTGCAGTCTGCGGGTTCATGTGATGGGCGATAGTGTGTTGGCGATTTACCCAAAGTCTCATGCAGTACTTTACTCTTTGACGCAAGCATATGATACGTATAAGGGCTGATGGTTCGGTTGGATCATGATCGTGTTCGATCACAGGCAATGCACCTATTGTATGAATACTACGAGGAGGTCCAATCCACGATAGAGAGCTTGACGATATGCCACTTTCAGAATTCAGTCGGACTTTGTATAGTAAAGAAGCCGAGAAACGGACATAGAGGCAACTAGCAAGTCCACGTAACCTAGAGTGGGCGGATCTTGGCAGCTAAAATACAAATGCGCTAACTTACTAGGAACAATGGTGCACTAGAGTCGATCGAATAGAGCTGCCATCGTTACTACAGAGGATTTAATCCAGAGCATCCAAACGGACGCTTCACTTGCTTCTGCTGAGTAAATCCAACCGCGTAAGACGGCTTTTGTAGCGGTTTAGACCCTGTTTACTCTAGCTCTTTAAGCCGCGCGGTAGGGTCGTGCTCCGAGGAAGTCCGAGGGCTCTGGGGCTTATTTCTAGAAATAAGTTAAAGAAAGCGTTCGCCACGAAACGTCGCAACTAGTTGTCTAAACCTAGAAATTAAACTATATAATTACTATTTAGAACTACTTCTAGATCGAACCTCGTCTATCTCGAAAACGCTCCTATAGTCTATTCCCACGAGCACTACAATGCAACTTCTAGTCTACGCATGCGAACATGAATCGTCGCTTATTATAGTAGAAAGACAGCAAGAAACAATTGTCCTAGGGAAGCTGGGCGCAGGAAAAACGACGTCATCGGACGAGGTCTTTGCGGAGGGGAATGCTGCCTTAGGGGACAAGGCGGCAACGCCATAGCTAACAAGGCGAGTTATTAGTTAACCTAGCTGCCGCTAGCAGCATTCTCTGCAATCCGTATTCTAGACAACGTCGTCCTGTCGCGTAGCTTCTTAGATCTAGGCCTTAACAGCGAGAAGTATAATAGACTAGCGTAAGCGCTATAGAAGGTAAAGAAAATTTAGCTAGACGCGCGAGTATACTAGTTAAGAGGTTGTAATAAGAACGCGTAGTATATACTGTATTTCCCCACTCAACGCACAGACCCTACTCAACGCACAGTTAACACCAAAACGCGTATATTTTCAACACCTCATAACTCCACCAATATGGACCCGATTGACGCAGCTGTTGAAGCTTTAAAATCCCTAGAGCTGGGAGGACCTCCTAATATATCCCAGGTTGCTCGGGAGTACGGCGTTGAGCGGTCGCGGCTCTCGAAGCGTTATCGCGGGGTTTAGGGCACCAATACATCACGGGCTGAGAAAAAGCGACTCCTCAACACTATACAGGAAAAACAGCTTCTACAGTATATTAATAAGCTGTGTGTACGAGGCCTACCCCCTACAAGAGAGATAATACAAAATTTCGCAGCAGAAATAGCCTATTAAGAGCCTGGAAAACACTAGGTTGATCGCTATATTGCGCGGCATTAAATTAACCTTGTATCGCGATAGACATCTAGTATTAATAACTAGCGCCACAAAGCTAATTCAGCCTTCAAATACGCTCTCTATTTCAAGCTTTTAGACGATAAGATTAAGCAGTATAATATCGCGCCGTTAAATACATACAACATGAATAAGAAGGGCTTCTTAATCGGGGTGGTGTTAAAAATAAAGCGCGTGTTCTCCCGACAGCGATATAATTAAGAAGGCGTCAAGCAGGTACTCTAGGACGGCAACAGGGAGTGGATAACGACAATAGCTTGTATATGCGCCGACGGCAGCTCTCTTAATCCTGCCCTAATATATTAGGCGGCTTCTGGCAATATCTAGGATACATAGTTGCAGGATTTTAATTCTTAAGAGCACCAGGCCTTCTTCGCCTTATTACTATCTGGATGGACAAACAACGAACTCGGGATTGCCTGGCTCAAGAGGTGCTTTCAAGAGAAGACGAAGAAGAAGGCAAAGCGCGATTATCGGCTCCTAATCCTTAATAGGCATGGCTCACATATTACTATGAAGTTTATTAAGTTCTGCGATCGAAATCGAATCCTTCTAGCTATCTACCCGCCGTATTTAACCTATACGCTACAGCCTCTAGATGTCTGCCTTTTTAAGCCTCTTTTAGCTGCATATACAAAAGAGCTTAGCGAATATATATACAACAACTAGGGACTCACATCTATTACTAAGCGCGACTTCTTCTGCTTCTTCTATAGGGCATATAGGATCGCGTTCGCCGAAGAAACGATTATTAACGCCTTTAAAGTTACTAGCATCTCTCTACTGGATAGCAACGCTATATTAAAGAAATTCAAGAATCTAGAGCCTAAGAGGCTATTAAGTAGCGATAGTACGTCGTTAGTACTCTCTGCAAGCGATTAGCGTAAAATTAAACGACTCCTGCGAGAGGTAGTTGAGAATATCTACGATAAACGCGCCTCGCAGCTTTCTTACACGATACACGCGATAGCGACTTAAAAACAGCTCCTCTAGCATAAAAATAATTGCCTTAGAGATGCCCTTATTAATAAGAAGAAGCGCCGTAAGCGTGGCAAGGCATTACTACTCAAACCCTCCAAGAATTACGCTAGCGGCGCCGTCTTCTAGTCACCATCTAAAGTTAAAGCTGCCCGCAATCGCTAAGCCTAAAAAGACGCTAAAGCAGAAGAACTACAACACTAAAAGGATTGCGATAAGCTAGCTAAGGAGCAGAAAAAGCAGGAGAAACAGGCTATGCTTAAGCAAAGGGCGCAGAAAAGGATAGCTACACAGGAGATTAAGTTGCAAGAAAAATAGCAGAAGGCCGTAGAGCGCGAAGAAGCCCTACTTGCGCGCGCAGCTAAAAAGCAACTTAGGACTAATATACAATTAGCTAGAAAGGGTAAGGCGCGTAACCTTAAGGCTCCTGCACCTCCTGCTCGTGTTATTGAGAAGCTAGAGGTTGATGTTGAGGATCTATTAGTTATTAAAGAGGTGGTAGAGGCATCCGGCTCATCATCGCGCACTCGCAAAGTACGCCTCCCACAGAGGTATCGCACGTAATTTGTCGTTGCCAATTAATTAAACAAGCCTTCAAGAATGCTTCTCTAAAAAATCTCGTGATAATTAGATCTATATAGGGCTGTACAGCTTCAAAAGTAGTAGTAATGGCTATCCTCAAACTGTGCGTTAAGTGGGGTCTGTGCGTTAAGTAGGGAAATACGGTAAACATAATCTAGCCGCTAGTAAAGCTTATAATAAGGCTTAAAGTAGAGAAGAAATTCTAACTTTAGAGAGTATAGATAATCTTTAGCTTTGTTTAGTACCTAATACTAATCTTTATAGATAGTTCTAAGCTATTACTACTAAATTTCTCTTCTTTATACCTAACGCCTCTAGTAAACTCTATCTTCTTAACTATAAAGCTAATCTTATACTCTTTTTCTTATATATATCTAGTTTTAAAGACTTTTATAACTACTTAAGAATTATAAATAATTCTATTATAAGCTATATAGCTAATATCTTTATAAAGATAACTACTTTCTTCTTTTACGTAGAGGTTAAGTCTACTAGTTATAAGAGCTAGCTTTATAGTCTCTACTACTATAAGTATCTCTAAATACCTAGCTAGATAAGTTAGCTATAGATAGTACTATCTCTATAAGCTATAAGAATAAAAGGTACTAGTAGAGTAGGTTAGGTTAAATTTAGCTATCTAAAGGTAAGAAGTAAAAAAATACTCTAAAAGACTCTATATATAGAGATACTAAGTACTAAAACGCTAGGCTAGGTTATATAATAAGGTTACGTAATCTAAAGTTATATAATCTAGGTAAATCTCTAAACTAGACTATTATATTACTCTCTTTTATAGAAAGAACTTATCTCTAAGCTCTAAAATACGTCTTTAAGATCTTTTTTCTTCTAAAACTTCTATATTATACTCTTAACTATCTCTATTAGCTTAGATTTAAACTAGAAGACCTATTTCTACGTCTATAGAGTAGCTTTATTATAGACTCTCTTTTTAAATAATACTATAAGCTTAGTAAGATCTTAAATTACTTAGTAGCGCCTTTATACTACTTATCTATTCTCTACTCGTATAGGTTTTAAATTCTCTACTATTTTCTATAGAGTCTTCTCTCTTTTATATATTTTAATCTAAGTATTTAACTATAATAAGAGCTCTAGCTTTTCTAGATAGATAGTATAAAAGTCTCTTACCTTATAGAGAGCATTAATAAAGCTAGTAGTATTATACTATATAGAGTTAAGATTATAGGTAACCTATATAGCTTAGTATTAAAGATAACTCTAATAAAAATAGCTATTCTATATCTCTTATACAGACTACTCTAGATTACTATTAACTTTAAGAGGTAGCTACTTAGGCTCTACCTACTCTAGTAGTAGCTCTAAGACTTTTCTTAGCTAATTAGTATAAAAGATATTATATATATATATATACGCTAGTAGCTAAAGCTAAAAGAAGTAACCTTTTATAGTAATAATTAGGTAAAAGCTATATATCTACTAATTAAGCTTTATACTAGGTTAATTTATTAAAAAGCTATAGAGTTTAATACAAACGCGATTACCTATTATAAAATTAGATTCTTAGCGCTTTTTATTTATCTAGAGTATCTATCTAGCTTACGCTTTTATAATATTACTTTATATAATCTTAGTAGCTTTTTTTATAGTATTATATTACTTTTTAGTAAAATTCTAAGCTTTCTAGTATAAGAGATACTTATATAGAGTAGAGACTTTTATTATATACTTTTTCTAATTCTAGTAGTATATTAGCTAGTATCTAAACTTAATCTTATATAATAATAGTTCTATAGTTTTATATAGTAGCGTAGTCTATACCTAGTTTATATAGAGTAAAAAGTCTAACTAATTATTCTAGTAGTAGTTAATAAATAGATATAGATACTAATTAAGATATTAATTAATAATCTCTATATTTCTATTAGTTTATAGATAATATATAGTAGAAAGCTTTTACTT